ATGTCAATATGTGGAGAAGGTTTGGGATTGAGTCAAGAATCTCAAAGATTAATATTGGCGATGGCTGAGTTTGCAACTGTAGAACACCCCAGGACCAATACCAGAAAACATAGATCATTAAGTAAAGTTTGCAGATTTGCGATTAATACGATTGCACAAGAGCGTCGCATTCATATGCGGGCACAATCGAAACTCTGGGAAACGATAGGGGGCTCACAAATCTGATGACGCAACAACCGCACACAATATTTGTTTACCGTACTTCGCATGTTAATGAGAAGCTTGTTGGGCAGCTGCATTTTGTCCACTTAGCTGAGTAAAGAGCGAAACGCTGAGGCCATTGTTCAGGCTGTGACTATTTTTTTGGTGCGTGCCTTTCTGGGAAACAGCTTCTCTGACTTTGTGAATGCAATGCACATCACTATTCAGGAGACAGCAGCACTATCAAGATCACTAATCGTGAGCTTAATTTGGCTGGAGTATCTCCAAGTCTGGCAAGTCCACTTGAAGTTTTGGCTTGAGCAGCTTGCGTTTCATCAGGAGCGTCATATCAAAGATTCTCGGCCTTCAAACGGGCTCCGGCTTCAGTGAAACTGACATGCAGCTGCACGGTATGTTTGACAGAACAAAATTTTTGTGGTGATCTTTTGGCTACACTAATACTCTGCTAATAAACACTAATACATCTATGTGAAGGTGGTATTACTCAGAGACATTTGTGCGATGTGTTTGTGGGGGTGGGGGAGTTCTCGAGGGGGGGGTTCTATGATACCTATGAAAAAAGCACATACCTTCTTTGGTTTCAGCCTGGTTTCACCAGGGGCATGTTTTTTTAGCACACTGCATAGTCGTTTGAATGACCTAGGGGACGTTTGCTGCGACAATGCTGTTTTTCCCACGCAGTCACATTAAGGACTACATCAATCATGTGATGAGCCTGGGTGAAGAAAAGCTGGGCTCTGCCTTCAACACTGTGTGGAGCATTCTCTAAGCGCATATCCCATGCCACTTTGGCTGCATACAGTAGGCGTACCAGGCGCTCTCACACTGTTGACATGAGAGACTACTGTCCAGGGAGAGATCGATGCGCGCCTTTTTTGAGGCTCTTGGCAAATGCATCGTGTCCAGAACCTTCCTTCCATGGCCCAAGACAGCTGCCTCAATGGACCCAGCTGGCTCGCAGAACAGATCAGCCACCAGTCAGTTGTGGCACTGCTTCTTTAGCTTCGCTTCGGCATTCTACAAAAGAATGCAAAAGGTATTTATCCAAGGGCCATCGAACATGCTAAGTTGTGCTGAGGTGAAGAGCCTAATGCTGTAATGCACTTTATTGTTGGAGCGGTAGTGATGATAGCGGTGATGGGGACATTGGCTGCCACTCAGAGAAAAAGTTCAATCATAATCTAAGAGGTTCATGTTGTGCAGGGCACTTGTGGCTTTTCTCGTCGCCGCTGTCTCCTGTTTGGACACCCCCAGCAGGCAACAGAGGGCTCCATTCTGATCCCCAACCATGGGGTAAGGCCAAAGTGGCCATGGTCAAGACATCGCTCGAAAAGGGGCCCAAATTGCTCGCAGTTTTGGTCTAGAATCTCTCTCTCACATATATATATATATATATATATATCATTGAACCCAATCCAATCCCCATGAATGGCTCAAGCCCGGACAAGTCCGGTGTTCACCTTACCTGAAAGCGTACATCTGGAGCCGGGCACCAAAGACCGCTCCTGTTGTCGCTGAAGCATCGGGCACCTGGTCACAAAGCTGTAAAGATTGGCCAAAATATGCAGAATATAATTTTGAAGTACAACATGTTCAAAACACAAAACTACCAACACAGACGTGAGCCTACTACAAAAGCAGAAAAATACGCACGGCTGTTTGTGGTCCAGGGTGCCGCCACCACGGCTCCAGCGGAGGGTTGCAATGCTGCGATGCTGGACATGCTGCATTTTCTGGTACCTCAGATGGCAAAGTATAACGGTCGGCCTTTCCCTTCTCATGCTAAAACCAAGCATGGTGACTACTTTATACTACATGACTGTATATAAAGGATTTACAGGCACTTCCTCATTGAGTTGCCCAACCTGGCTGATGCATCGCAAACCATCGTCAGATATATTCAAGATCTCGGTCATGACCTTACCCACAGTTCATACAAAAGGATATCAAATCCCTCACAAATAGTTGCTTTTGGAGAACGCATACGACAGGTGTTGCATTTTGCCCAGAAATACCCGACTCACATGAATTTGTCAGAGATGCTCCAGGGCATGCCATCACCCTTTTCATCTGTCATCCAAAACCACTCGATGCCGATGCCATCACACCCTCGAGAGCCAGACCTACCATATGAGGAATGCATTCGATGCTGCCAAAGCATTCGAGATGCTTTTATCCCCAAAGAATCACTGGATGATATTCCACTTTGCGCTTTTCCATGAATCACGATCGCATTAATTAAAGGCTGATTCATAATTTCTCACCGCTATGCAGTCGCCATTGCTTGCCTCTACACCAACCTTTTTGTTTTGTTTTGCTTCCTGTTGTGTTTGTTTGTGTTTGCCCGGTTTTCCTCGCATTGACACAGGAAACGAGATTGGTATCGTCACTGTCCTTTGTGACACAACATATGCAATCCCGGTACCGAAGGGCCGAAGGTTCTTGAAGGACGTATCGCAAGCATTGTTGGGTATATACCCACCCAGGCTAGGCAGCTAGGTCTACAATTAGTGAGTTGTTCCCACTTCAGGTGGCTTGTGGCAGCAGAGCGGGATGCTGCAAAAGGCAGCTTGGCAAAAGTGGCACATCCTTGGCGATCACACTGTTCTGGTGCGTGTGCATTTCTCAAAGGAGAAAATAAGAGCTTCAAGAGCAAAGCAGGAAACGACTAAAACAAGAGCGTCCCCGCTACTAGTAGCTACTTACGCTTATGTAATGGTTACTGCAGCCCACCCCCCCAAACTGGCTTATTGTTGCTAGTAGTAATGGCCTCCAACCTAATAGCGATGGCCCCCAACCTCGTAGCTTCGAACTACTAGTAGCTTAAACATGTAAAACGGTTTGAGTGCGCAAGATCGCCACGATTTGAGGCCGCATCCTTCTCCAACACTTCAGCCTCAGAACGGCCGAAGCTGTCAACGTACAGGCTGTGCTCCGTTGTATTTGTGCTATTTTGTGCTAGTCCGAAGCTTTAGCAAGTTTGGTGATCAATTTGAACAGTTGTGCTGTTCGTTTTTGGGCATATTTTCTGTTTGGCTGCGCTTGGTCCATGGCATTTGTCAAACAATTTTGGTAATCATTCGATAAGTGTGGATCAGTGACTCTGCGGATCTGGACTGCCAAAAGATGCAAGAATTGTCAGGAGGGCGCAAGTGATCCTCCAATGCCACTAGGCGGGGTTCGCATCACTCCGATCGTGAGGGCAATACATTTACTGGCACAACATGGGGAAAAGATGCTAAAAGGCTAGGGTCGGATGTTCTGATTCAATGCCTTCACGTCTCAATCCTCAGGCTGATGGGTTTGGTGCAGTGAGTTGATAGGACTCAACTATGTGGAGAAACATGCTGAAACAGCAGACAGCATGCTTCCGCTTCAGGGGACATCGAAGGGCTCATGCCTGATGCGATGAAGTCCAGCTCCTTGGACTTTCGGACAGCTGTTGGCGCCAAACAAGAAGATTGTAGAAAACTAGAAAGGACCGTGTGCTTTTACTTGTGTAGCCAGTTTATTGCAGGATTTGCGAAAGCAAAACGGACACCGTGTTTGCGTTTTGTTTGCTCATTCTTCATGTACCCCGTTTGTTGAATAGCTTTTTGCATGGACTCATCTTGACTCTCAGACGGTGGGACTTCTTCAAGGATGATGGTCTTCGCCTCTTGGACCTCAACCGGTGACTGGTGTGCAGTGCTCTCTATGAGAATTTGGTTGTGCGCAAGTGCTTGTTTAATTCATCCATTTTGCATGGTTCTTATTAAAGGTGCGTTAGTTGTCATTTCTCCGAATGTTGCATTTATTCGTTGCAGAAGCTTGCTGCACACAGCTCACTAGCATTCATCCAGGCCGTGGTGCTGCTGATGAGCCTCCTTTGCATTCTGATGGATGTGGTCGGACGTTTCCTCTCCCACATAGCTGTCCTTGTTTGGGAAACTTGGTCTGATTCAGGGCACAACTTGAGTCGTGAGTTCGTTTAACAACGGTCATTGAAGCCTTACATATACGTTATACTGCAATGTTCGTATGCTCATGGAGTTCGAAAATGCTTCCGTGGTTGAACATACGTGGTGGACTACGGCAGGATATCGCAGATTATTTTTGCAGTCACAGGCACGTCGCAACACGCCTTTGTAGTCTCAGGATGACTGCGAGTCAGCAAGTGAAACGCGTTCACAGCGGCTCGGTTGGCAAGAACCGCCGATGGAGTCTGTCAGATGGATGTTGGAGTTTTTGCTTTTGCTGTCTTTCATTTTGTATCACTGTGCGTTCTTTTTAATGTATGAAGGTGGTTGAAGGCTGAAGGTATATATAGTCTTTGTGAGTGTCTATGTGTTATTTTCTCGCTTTGGCGTTCAAGTCTTTGTTTTGGTTTCAGTGTGATCCAGCTTCATGCGCAGATTGGAGCCTGAGAAAGAGCTCAAGGCTTTGGCCTTTGTACGTCTACTGGGTGCTGTGCACTTAGTCGCTTGGAGAACCGGAAGCCGCGTCAAGCTGGAAGCCGTGGGACGCATGTTCTGCGACTAACTATTCCTTCATACTTTGGACATCTTCTGACTGTGCCACCGACGTCGCTAGTGTGTAGTGTTGTGGCTTGATTTTTGGAGGTCATGTATTTCTATGGCCCCGCGTGGTGTGCTGGATTCAATGCTTGGGGTGCTTCGTGGTTTGCTCTGTATTTCATTCTGACTGGGCCGCTTGGAACTTGACTGGAATGAAGTCTACTGTATCGGCACTGTCGACGTTCAGCTTCACTCAGGTTGGGCAGTGCATACGTCAAGTTGGAGCGGAAAGTCACTAGTGGTTGGTTGCCGCGCTGGGGGAGCCTTCTAAGACATTTGGCGCTTGTGTGACCTTACTGAACTTCCAGACAACGCTCGAGATGCGAGGGTTGGTTTGGCTGCGACATTTCTAGCTCAAAATCTATATACTAGTACCATAGTCTATTGTGCTGTCCATATGTGAAGATTTCGCCCTTGACACCATTGCATAAGGTATCCTCTCTATTTGCCACTTGGCTGCACCAATGCCGCCTCATGAGGCAAAGCATCGATCATTCTGAATGCAATCAGTTTCCGAACAATGATATTCGGAAGCATGTTTTTGCATAGCTCCACAGGCCACAGGCTTAGTTGACACCAGCTTACCTACATTTCGAGGCTGGCACTATGTTGGCAGCTTGTGAATATGCGCATCTTCGGTTCTCAGGAGCTAGACACTGACCGTTCCTGTACGCTGAGTACTGGTGCTATTCCACGTGTTGTCCTGCCTAATATCCCAGGGCTGTGGGGGTCTATACGGTCTATACAATTGGAACAGATGCCGAATTGGATTACCGTAGATGGTGCAGTATGCCTTAAGCCAAGACCGGTTATCCATGTTTATCCCTTGAAGCTCGGTATTGATTTTATTCCGATCATTCGTAGACGCGGATGCTGACCAGACCGCACTTCTGAGGACAAAAGGGCCACGAGCTTTGCTTTTGATTAACTCCGTCACTACTGGCGTTCTCGGCAGTTTGATTTTCAATCAGAATTGAAGTAGTGTCAGCACTGGTGCATGTAGGAGCCGATAGTCGCTTCCTCAGTTGCGTGGATCTTTATTTTTGACCTGCATTCAATTCCAAGTGTTCAACATCCCATGTAGCCAACCTTTTTGCAGTTGTGCAACTCGCATTGCATTTTCAGATAGTTGTTTCCTGAGGTGTTTTCAAGTTTGCTTTGCGAGTCCCTCATGCTTCAAGCCTTCCTACCGTAAGTTGGCAGCATACGGGACAGATGCATAAGGTGGTTTGTTACGATGAATGACCGTGACCACATTGGCGAAGGGCTGGGCTGCAGTTTGTAGATTTCAGCCATATCGCATAAGGCAAAAGATGCTTCATCACTACAATCCACCGAGCTGCTTGGCAATGCCACTGTGGACCTGTGGCCAACACTCCATGGCTGAGATTTGATACCGTTTCCAAGTCAACTCACAAAGCTATTTGCCTCATTATGTCTCTAGTCTCCAAGAATCGCTTGCAGGATTGTGCATTCCTGCAAGCCTTTGGTTTGGGTTTGGAGGTTTTGCCTTGAGACCTCACCTCGCTTCAAGGCACATTCTTCAGTGCCCTCGCTTTCTGTTGGCTCTTGGAAGATGCTCTCTACAACCTGGGTAGCTTGTGCTGGTACCCCGGCCAGGGAAGGAGAATGACACCGCAACTTCGGGTTTGGGGAGGCCACTAGGATCCTTACAGTGTTTCATTTTCAGGAGTCGCTTAAGACGGGTCACCACTTGCATCATTCGTATTCACTGGAACAGAGGAACTGCGTGTCCGTTCCCATTGCATCAGATTTTGTAAACCATGGAGTCAGCAGGCGGCCATTACACTCACCAGGCTGACTTACCCGATAATGAAGCATGGCCCTTCTTGTCAGCACTCAGCACGGTGCAACTTTCTGAAGGGGAAGTGGGCGCTGGGGTCGGCGCATCACTTGCCTGGGTGTGCTCATTTGGATCATCCTGTGGCCTTTTGCAGTTCCTTGGCTGAAACACTGGAGATCTTGGCGCACCTTGCACATCCTTGCACGGGATTCAAGTCACTATCTCAAGCAAGGCTCCCGGGAAGCTGGTTGACCTGCAGGCCGCTTGGCTTCGTCAATAGTCCTCGCCATGAAGACATCGCAAGGTCTGCAAGTATTTGAATAGAATGCCGACCCATCTCACAGAAAAGAACTCAAGATAGGGTCAGACAGAGGGTTTTTTTGAGACGGGCTGCATGAGGCTGCTGTTTGCCAAGACTGAGGACAATATTCCAGCGTTTTCCTTCATCCATTGCCACCTGTCGAAGTGTAAGGAGGTCATGATGAGCCAGCAAGCACAGCAACAGCAAGTTCACAAAGACTGCAACTCAGGCTACTTTAGCGGGGTGCTGCTTGCCCATTGCCTCCATGACAAGCCAGCAGTGCTTTGAATGCATGAGAGGGTTTTGGTGGCCAATGGCAGGGGCCTTTTTCAAGCAATCTTACAGACCCACTAGTGGAATACTAAACCATACTAAACCCAAAGCTAATTAATTACAGGAATTGCAATAGTTCAAAAACAGAGCAGCATAGAGCAGCTGCCAGTTTTGTTGTGTTTGTTGTAAGGTTTAAACAGGTATAAACTGAATTGTTCATGTACAGATTGAACAAAATGCCAAGCCATCAGGTCCACACAAACAAAAGGGCTGGTGAGACTCCTTGTTACCGGCAGGTTTTCGGGCCTCCTGTGCATGCCAAAATATGACAATTGTTTTTACCGCGTCGATGAAGTTGAGGTCGGCTCAAAACGAGGCTCAGCAATCAGTGCCAGTGGATCTGCCTTGATCCTGGTAACCGTCTTTTGTGGTTTCAGTCACCTGGAGACGTCTTGTGTTTTTTTGGTACGTCAGGAGTCAGGACTGCTCAATCGTTCGACATCAACATTGGGTTTAAGTGTCTTAGAATCTAGGAGAGTTGTGTGGTTGAACTCGGGAACATTGTGATGAGCCTGCTATGTAAACGGGCCGCTTTGTACAATCCGTGGTCCAATAATGAACAATGCCCAATACTATTGTATACATACTGTATGGTGATCTACTGTATATATCCAAATCTAGTCGAACTCAGGTGACAAAGCAACTGCGACTAGCTGGGCTTATTTCTTGCTGCTGTAACTTGGAAACTAAGCAGAGTGCCTTTTTAGTTATACACATCAGTGTGCACATGATGCTTATTAAAAGAAACACACGACCAAGGAAACATGTAATGAGTTGTCCCGTTTTAGCAAACCATGGCTGATTTATTGTAAAACGATAAATATTTTAAACACAAAAACGATAACAATCATATAATACTTGCAGTACAGTACATGAGAATAGAAGCATTGGAAATTCAAATGCCTTCAGTTCTGTCGTGAGCATGGTGGGGCAAGTTCAGTTTAGTTGTGATTCAGGTGTCCTTTAGGCGACCTTTCTCATACGAAAGATGTTTACACGTCCGAGTCACAGGGTTGCAGTGGTAGCGGTAGCATGGTAGCGGACACGGAAAATACTAGGTTCAAGGCCACCAAAATGGGTGAATACTTGGGGTTCCAAAACGATAGCAACACGATAACAGAAACGATAACACAATACACGAAAAAGCCCTCGGGAAGACCATGTCCCATGTACGCGTGCTTGTGGTCAGTGCTCCTGCAACTGAAAAACATATGCCATGCTGAAGTTTCTTTGAAGAGTGGTTGGCAAGGAAAGAACTTGACAGCAGCAGCACTGCAATCGCTGGAAAGAAAAATCCACCCAAAGCAATGCACATACTCACATACTGCTCACATAATAGTGCACGCGCACATAATATACACACAACAGAAACCGACTTGTTTGCACTTGAGGCAGGGACATGTCTGGTTGGCTGGGAAACCATCACCTGGCCAGAGGTGCTCAAACCAGCAAATTCGGGATACTGCGGGATACTTGAGGCCCGCACAATGCCTTTTGATATACGGTCTTGGACGCGGCGAAGATCCATTGGCCTGGTGCTTTAGCGTTTGGCCCCTGCCGCAACCTGTCTGAACTGTGAAATCATTTGACAGTTCGACTCATCATTGCTATGACTCAAGCCCGTACAAGAATGGGAAAGGAGGATGTGTATGTAGCTCGTGGGACATTTGAGTTTGACAAATTGGCAGAATGTGTTCAAGTGCAAGGCGACTATCTGAATTGGCTTTGGGCATTTACATCTTCCAATCCCCCGCCAAGCTGATGCCCCATGGCACATGTTACTTTAGGCAAGCCCAAGCGTCATCAAGCTTGGGATCAGAATGAGTCCTTTGAATGTTGTGGAATTCGTTCAACGTGAGAAAACTGCAAAAGCCCAGTGTGGTGCTTTGCACATTTTGAGTGCGGTGAACTGTTGATCTAGGCTTGACAACCTCATGGGATGGCAAGGCCCGTAGCAGTGCATGAAGCTCATGAAGTATTTTTCTCCCAACTTTACAGATCAAGACCTTCAAAGATGTCCCACACTCTGGTTCTGTTCAGTTTGCAGAGCTCAAGATCACGCTCCGTCCGTTTGCAATTCCTGGATCTCAGTCCACGCAGGCAGCTACACACTGAGTCAGGTTGTGCTTCTTCTATCACTCCTGGCGATGTTGGCAGCTATGGCGCAGTTGTTACAGAAGCCGTTGGCTCGTTTGGTAACAAGCTGATGCAGGCTATGGGCTGCGGGTGATGTTCATATCCTTTGCAAGTGGTACGTGCTTGCATGCGATTCAGACCGCCTCGAAAAGCGGGAGAGAAAAGCCGAGACCTGTGCAGCATTGCGGCGGCTTTGCCACTGTCCGTTGATCTCCATTCATTGATGGGCATGCTCCACCGATTTTCACCGTTTGGCTCTCTAGTGCTGGATTGCTGGTGAATTCTTATCTAACACGGATTGGAGAGTAAAACCCATGATTTGAAAGAAGCTTTGGTGTTAAACATTTTGAGGCTCTTCCAAACACCAACCTGCCAGTCCCAATGATGGAAGCTTGGGTGGCCTGTGACTGGGAGCTGGTGCCCACAGGCTTGAAGGCCTTGGGTAACGATATTGAAGCACCAGTTGGCCAAGTGGAGAAGGGTGTTCAGGCGCAGCTTCAGCATGATTCACTGTTCCATCATGAGTTTGCAAGGTTGTTCTCGACTATTATATAAGGTGTGCGTGAAGCTAATATGAGCTTCTTTTCGATATTCCCTTTGAGTCGGAATATATTGGAATCTTGTGCGTTTCAGTCACTCAGTGGAGTGGAGAGTATGAGAGAGGGAAGTTTCTCGTTCACGAGGATGCGCGCGGCTTCTTGGAAAAGATTTGCAGCGAGTCACAGAGAAGACAAGTCATTACGCAGGCAGAAGTTGAAGGGTTTCTTGTGGCCCGGCTATTGGCAGTGCACTGGCACAAGACGCCGACACCTATTCTTAACATCAACCACATCAAGACAAACCACAGTGCAAGGGGAACTTGACCACCAATCGCGAAAAAAATGCCAAGTCAGGTATCGGGTGCTTGCAAACCAACAAACCACCTCCTTCTCAAATACTGTTTGATCGCTACTCTGCAAAGTCAACGTTGTCCATGGCCATGACATTTTGTCAGGCCGTGTCACAAGCAAAAGTGAATCTGGGTTCGAAAACAATGACTGCACTCCTTGTGTTCTTCGATGGTTGCTTTTGGGAAGAACCGAAGAACCCGACAAGTCTCCGATGTTTAAGGGCCTTTTGACATGACGAGTTCGGCTCGAGATGCAAGATGGGGCGCTCGTGCAAATAAAAAGAAAAGCTTCTTGTTACTACTAGTAAGGCACTTGTTACTAGTAGCGATGCACTTGTTTCTACTAGCTTCTTGTTACTAAGGCCTTAGCATGCGCTGGAGAAGACGTGTGGCAGACCTTCCACCACGATGAAAAGCTCCACGCACGAAGGCACAAGGATCGTACCCTTGTCGGAGGAGCAATCTTCGTTAAGGTCTCAGGTTATTTTCCAGGGGTCACCGTGGACCACGTGGCTCACTGCTACATGAACTTCAACGACCGTGCTGGCTGGGATAGGCAGATGGATGGCTTCAAGGTGACGTCACCCGTGGTTCACCTCATGATTGCTTGCTATAGTTTTTACTATATATTATATATATATGTGTGTGTGTGTGCGTGTTAATATTATTTTTACGTTTGTACCTAATTATGTGTGTTCAGTGCACCTGAAACCAGATCACCTGTGCTTATTTGGGGTGTTCGCGGTTCGCTAGTATGCCACAGGATAGCTTGCAGTCACAGACCTCAGACAGCTTGAAGTTAAGAAAGGTATGCCACGTATAGGTACTTCTTCGTTTTTTGAACGGTTTGTTTGACCAAATCTACTTATTTCAGGTGCTGCAGCATGGCGAGGGCAATGACCTCATGCACACGGTACTTCACTCACCCCCATTGTCGGATCGTGACTTCTTGGTGTGGCACATCGTTCTTCGCCACACCAATGGAAAGGGCCTGATGTTCTATAGCCGGTCTGCAGACGACAGCTTCTATCCTCCTGGTCGTGCAGTGAGGGCCATGCAGTATATCGGTGCTCATCAGTTGATTCAAGATTCAGGCTGCAGTGAGGAGTTCATGTCGCATAAATTGCACATGTCGAAAGCCGAAAGCTGAGTGAACTTCAATTGGAGCCAATGTTAAAAATATTTATGATATGTCCAGAGCAATGGATTCAATAGACCAATTAAGTTTGTAAGGGCCGAAGTTATGATGTCATGCTCATGTCGTTGGATGTGTGAGGTGGGGTGACCTTTACCACAATCACTGCAGTCGAGCCTTACATCCCGTTTCTCCCAAGGCTGGCTGCATCCGAAGTGTCGCTTGTGTGCACATGTTTCATGATGTTTTGTAACGTTTGGCAAGATTTGGTGACTGCTCCGGATACACAATAGGAACAATTTAAGAACAATACAATTTTGTGGCTGTTTGTTGCGATGGCCACGCAGCAGATCCGCGCTAGGCCCTGCGAAACACAAATCCATTAAGTAAGAAGTGACGTTCGGAACGGTGTATATACTTTTATAGTACGGGCTGCAGCCATAAACAAGGTGCGCAAGGTTGAGTACGTTGGACTATGGTGACGAGCAGTCTGGGTCTGAACATGCTGCTTGCGTAGCGCACGCAAGCCAGTCGGAGCAACACACCTGTACAAGCCTAGTATAGCTTTGTTGCTCGAGCATGTGCGCCACGTCTCCAGGTGGGTGATGAGCCTTTTGCTGCCGTCTGAGTTCAAGCGTTGGCGGAGTTCTGTGTTGCGACGTTGCAGCGAGCTGCGTGGTCAGAGGGTACCGTGCACTGGGCTTTTTACTTTGGACACACCAGAGGCGGGAGTCAACACCGTAAAGAGTCAGCGTATATTCTCTCTTCGCTTGCACCTCAATTAAGTGAAGATGGCAGGTGGAGATCGATACAAAGCCTAGCGTTGGTGCTTTGAGTACAGGCAGCGGACGTTGAAACTGTTGGCCGATGTGGGCCGTGCTGTTACACGATGCTTCTGCCACTCGCAGGCATTCCAGAGCTTCCAAGCGACCGACTCGAAATTGCAACGACAATGTCTGAAGATGATCACCTGCAGTGCTCTTTCTGCCAGTGTCTCGGGTAGGCATGTGCTGTTTATAAGCTACGCTGGTCTCTTTGCCAGTGTCTCCGGTAGGAATGTGCTGTGCAATGCTGTGCACCATTGTGCACCGCTCTCTTTCCTGTGTCTCGGGTAGGACAGTACTGCGCGTATTTGGAAGAGTGCGGAAACGGCGTTTGTCGTCAGTGTTCGCTATTCCAAGAACTTTTTGGCTACCCTGGGACCTTTGTGCTTCCTGAGATGTTATATACTCACCAAGTTCCTTCAAAAACTAAGTAGCGAGCTCACAAAGAGCTAAGTTTGCCCGGAAGATCCCGAAGCACACAAGCCAGCAATTTTGTGGTGGGCTCAATTGCTAAGCAGTTGAGTGACCAGCTTCGCTCAGCTTCTGACCATTTTCGGTGCGGTATTTTTCCCACTGATCTTGGCCAAGCTTTTCCAGAAGCCAGAACCTTGAAAACCAAACACTTTGGAATGCCTTGGTATATATATATATATATCTGACGATCTTGATTCATGATGGTTTATTGTTTTCGTGTGTGAGTATGTGTGCATTCTTCAGGTTGCTGGAAGTATGTCTAACGCAGCCTGGGTGGTTCAAACCTGTTCGAAGCATACTAACCATGGACATCTTTGTATTCCCACAGTCTCTCGGTTGACCCTACCTAACTTCTGAATACCTAGAATGCCTCAGTTAGAAGACAGATCCGTGGATCGTTTCTGCAACCTGAGTTGGCAAGTCGGTCAATTATATAGAATCGCACAGATGCATCTATAGATTTATGTATGTATATAACAACGTTTCTATAGTGTATAAAGATGTATATAGTATGTCTCATTACAGGGCAGCCGCTGGCTGATCCGCTGCTCAGAAGTTTCGAGACCGCACCCCATGCAAACACATACTGCACAAAAAGTTACACAAGAGCTTCAAAGATCGCGTTCTTAGCGCGCAAGAGCAGGTCAAGCCGGTTCTGATGGATGTTTATAGCACCTACCGACGCTGCACGCTCCGATCCAAGCGCCTGGCTGGAAGCTACTGGGCGCTCACTGGATCGTTGGGCATTTATGACGCTTCATCTGCAAGGAGATGGAATACCAACAGCTACACTGCAGTGTGAGACATTGTGCCCAACACTTTTTGCTTTGCCTTTGCTTGAGAGACTTCGTTCAACCTGCAATGTTATTCTCAGAAGACCGTTGTATACCTGCATATGTTCTTTGGTGACGCTGTTCTCTTGATTCACAGGTCCTATGTTTTCATGGAATTTTCGACGCATGTCTAGTGGAGGATTTCTAGGGTCTTCTATATCATGTCAAGCTTATTCTCCTTAAAGGGCCTTTCACGTGAGGTCATTTATACCGCGGTTACTGCCAAAAGCCATTTGTTGCAAGAGGCCTGACCGGGGAAGGCTGCAACCATTGCAGAGTGTGACCCATGTACACCATGAACAGACTACTGAGCACAGCAGTACTATACGGCTATTCGGAATTCTGGATGTGCCCTGAGGTGCTTGCCTCTGATGGAGTGCTATTCGCACGATTCGCAGAAGATGAAGATGTACAACCAAAGTGCGCCAACATGAATTCCACCGGTGCCCTGCCTGTTTTGGGCCGTTGTCGAGCATGAAAACTCCTTCAGGACCATCGGTCTTGCATGCTCAGCAGCGGTGATGGCCAATAAATTATGAAGCGGCACCAGCAGCAAAGAATTGACAAGTAATGCGAAGACCGGATCAATGAATCAGCCCCTCCCACATAACTAGAAGGTCAGAAAGGTCTGAGGTACAATTCATGAGGTCCACTTCCCCTGAATAATCTGCTAAGAAGGGAGTAGGAGAGTAGTAGCAGTAGTGGAAGTAGTAGGAGTAGTAGTCGTCGTCTTCGTCGTCGTCGTAGTAGTAAGTAGTAAGTAGTAAGTAGTAGTAAGTAGTAAGTAGTAGTAGTAGTAGTCGTCGTGGTGGTGGTGGTGGTGGTGGTCGTGGTAGTGGTAGTGGTAGTGGTAGTGGTAGTAGTGGTAGTAGTGGTAGTAGTGGTAGTGATAGTAGTGGTAGTCGTGGTAGTCGTCGTCGTCGTAGTAGTCGTAGTCGTCGTAGTCGTCGTAGTCGTCGTAGTAGTCGTAGTCGTCGTAGTCGTAGTAGTCGTAGTCGTGGTAGTCGTAGTAGTAGTCGTAGTAGTAGTAGCAGTAGTCGTAGTCGTAGTAGTCGTAGTAGTCGTAGTCGTAGTAGTAGTAGTCGTCGTCGTCGTCGTCGTAGTAGTAGTAGTAGTAGTGGGAGGAGTAGCAGCAGCAGCAGCAGTAGCAGTAGAGGTAGTAGCAGTAGTAGCAGTAGCAGTAGCAGCAGCAGGAGCAGGAGCAGTAGCAGCAGCAGGAGTAGTAGTTGGAGGAGTCGTTGTAGTAGTAGTACAATTGACCTGGTTGTGGGCTCGGACTAGCTAGGGGATGCTAGGGGAGGTTATTAATCCTTGTTTGGCATTACCCGTGCATTTGGTGCAACCGTGAGTGGCTCGGAAGGTCTTTGTGTGGAGTTGCCCTGGCTCGATGCTGTTGAGATCTCAGCCACTCGGGGCTTTTTGGCCACCTACATCCAGGAGCTGAAGGCATTCAGTTGCAAAAGTGACAAACATATGTATGCAATGTATGATAATGTATGTCATGTCATGTATGGTAATGTATTGTTATGCAATGGTATGTAATTGTATGTATTTGGTATGTGCTGTAATCTATGTATTTCTTCATGCATATGTAAATGGGTTACATCAGATGTCATTTGCATGATTAAACGCCATATATGATAGGTTTGATAGGTGCTATGGCATTTATTGTGGATTTGTGTTGGAGGTTTGCTTCGACACGCTCTATCTAGGAGACCCTTTTATTTGGGCGCCCTGCTTTGCAGCAGTTGGGCACAGGTCAGATAGCGCATCAGGGTCAACAAAAGGCAGGGGCCGTGCCGGCCATGCTGCCGGATATCAGTCAATCTGTTTGTTAGAAGGCATAGTGCGTTGCATGTTTTTGGCTGCTGGATGCAAGATGCGAAAAGCATCGAAAAGCTGCCCTGTCCAGGTGCGCAGTCAAGCCTTTTATGTCGGCAGCTTGGCGGGGAAAGAGAAGCCTTTTGCGAGACAGAGAGATGTTGGACAGTGTGACCTGAACTCTGAATTTTAATTTGTGATCTCACGCTCTGGCAATCGTTCTCAAAGATGAAGCAAGAAGTTCCCGCACGTGATGTTTGTTAAGTTATATAAATACATGAAAAAGATGCACTATTGCTCCTGTGACCATAGATCGATTGAAGGAAACAATAAGACTTCAAAGCTTGTCCGATGAGCAAACAAAGATTTAAAAAGGCTGCGGGATGCCAAAAACATCAAGTGACGTGATGCAGTCGGGGCACAGCAAGGCCAACCGGAGTTGTGGATTCTGGTCTTGGAGCACAGATTGAGTTCCATCACAGGAACGTGGTCCGGTCAAGACCTGATTGGCTTCTTGACATAATTTGGATGAAAAGGTTGACATTTTTGCACAACCATCTATGTTGTGCGGCATTTACGCCCATAAGCTCCAGAAAGTAAACTGATTTGTCCGGCTGTTCTTGGGTTGTGGCTTGTTGTGGCACATATGTTGTGGAAAGAGCCTGAAGGATCTCCAAGTCATGTGCCTTCCGAGAGGAAACATGAAACATCGGCCTTTTGGTGTGGTGTGTTGGTTCGATGAATGTTTTACCTCTCATTTGCCTTGAGGTTTCTTGCGGCAGGAGCAACTTGATACTGGCTACAGCCATCCAATAGAGTGCGCCTTCGCAGTTGAATGCTACACAGGTTATCCGTGCTGCAATGTTGGTTGTCTACACTGGCATCCTAGGCATGTCGCGCATGGTTTGCCCAAGGAGGTCAAGACGTGGTTTGGCGGTGCAAAAGATCGACGCTTGCAGGTCCAAACGACGGGTTGCTGACGTGATATGTGACATCATCACAGGCGTTGCTTCCCTAGAGTAGGAATGAACAGATACGATGACAGTTACGACTTCAATGTAGTCTCGCCAAAACATACCAAGACTATGATACTGCAATTATCTTGAATTTATAGCGGTAACAAAATCTATGCCAACGGCGATTGCAAACGATACCCAGTTTGTGGGTTTGGATGCTTCTGAAAGCCGGTTGCTTACCACATTTACATGTTTGCAGCATGTTGGGTAAACGAGGGGGTTTGCCCCGACTGCAAAATGCAGAGGGTCAGAAAACCCTGAGTCTTACAGCGTTTCGTGGGTCTCCGGACACTGAACTTATCTTCTTGGAATTCACTAATTCTAAGACGATAAGTTGAGTGCCTTTTGAAGACCATTCAGTCCAGTCCCCGGATCCCACCTGCTCCATGATCTGCATCCGAAGGCACCTGTTCTCTACACGCCGGATCTCAGTCCTGTTCCCAACTGAGCCATGACAGCTCACTGTACCTTTGAGCTGGCGGACAAGTGTCTGGCACAGCTTCTCTATGTATTCTCACAGCCTCGAGCATTGAGTCCAACCCTGGATGTTGGCTGAGCCACAAAGCTGCGAGGCCTTCATTGTGCTCTCGTTGCAGCTTTGCATCGCAACGCCCAAGAATACCCAAGTAGTCCCGCGAACGACACGTCACCAAATAGACAAAGAAACGTGAAGGCCGATCTACGCGAGTAGTAACACAGACGAAACTGACCGCACCCCCCCACCCCGAAAATCCTGTGAACTGATCGGATACATGTTGACGCCGGGGCAAACCCCGCCCGTTGGCCGAACATGTTGCAACTTCCTATTGTGATAGTTGTGTTTCTTTTCCTGCGCGCCGACCCTCCGCTTGGCAAGCATAGAAGAGAGCACCAACCGCTTTTTGCATCGTTCAACCCAAAGGATTGTGATAACTGTGAATTGAGAGTAGAGGCCTTATACAATACTTGACCTTGTTAGCGGTACTAGGCAGCAGTATTCCTACCATGACTTAGCTTTCGCTCTTGGTTTGGGGTCTCACATCCACTCTCTCTTGGCCACCGCACACACACACTGCACATCTTGGCCGTCCATTACGTGAAATGGAGGCGTTGGTGACCCCAAAACTTCCCCACAACCGCCTAGTTGTGCTTGTCTCCCACACGCAAGAAAATGTTTTTTCATGGCGCATGGATGCACATTCTCTTATATATATATATATATATAGGCAGAATATGTCTTTTCTGTTCTCGAGAGTGTGCGTGTGTGTGTGTGTGTGTGCTTGCTTGCATACATGCCGGCTTCTGGAGGTTCTTTAGAGGACAGTGTAAGCTTAGGGTATCCTTTTTTTGAACATGCGACTGTTTTCAGTTGTTCTGGGCAGGATTGGGGGCAAAAGGATTCAAGACAATTTCTTTCTTGAACTAGAACGAAAGGTGTCGCATGGATGGAAGCACCTGTCAAGGTGTAGCAGTATTGAAAGGCCTGAGCATTGCAACAGTTGGGGGTGTTTGGCTCGATTGGTTTGATAAATTGCAATCATGCACGGCTCCAAATGCTTCTGTCAGGTCAGACTCTTTGAGCTCTTGCAAGCAGCTGGTGTGACGCTCGATCAGGTGCAGGGTGTGTAATCTCTCAATTGAAGGATTGAGAGCTCAAGGCTTCGCATCAGCTTGACAGGAGTGCAGCCGCTGTGCAGAGTTCAACCTCACAGGGGAAGCTGCCAGATTGCGACGCATTGGTCTTGAGTTGGATGTGACGCTCTTCTACTCAAACCTTTGGTTCCTCTGGCCCTGGAGCTGCAATCTGCTGGACAAAGTGGTAGAAGCATGTCATGTTTCAGGTTGATTTGCAGCAAAGCTGTCATGATGTGCTGAATGATTCAGGTCTGACATCTCAACCTGGTTCTTGCCAAACAAGGACCACAGTGAGATCAGCACATGCCAGAAGGGTATCGGCGTCCCGCAGTTTGCACGCTTCAACTGCCTTGAGCGTCCTAGACGTTTTCCGGGACATGTGAGCTTTTGACCGATGGTGAACTTGTATCCAAATCTGAGATGATACATCATGTAGACAACTGCCAAAGCAGAGCAACATCAAGATTGCTGAATGGCATAATGCCAAGAAGAACCTTAGCCCACTCTTGTAGGAGGTGACGTTCGAGCTGCAAGTGAAAGCACGCGAGCCAGTGGAAGGAGTGCGCACCATCCGCACAATTGGGCCTGCGCAATCCTTCTTCCAAGATGAGGTGCGGTGAGGATACGCCGAACTTCAACGTGATGAATTTTGTTGGTGCCCGACATTGCCCTTCCCTTTAGTCCAGTCCAGTCCTTTGTCGATTTAAAGCCATTTGCACCTGCGCTGCACCGGCACAGGAATATCACAATCAGACTGCTCGGGTTACTCGTCGCAGTTTTGGCATCCGCCTGCTGTTCCATCAGCGAGGTGTTATAGGCGCGGCGTGGCATTGGTGCAGACACAAACGAGGTTGCAATCTGGCATGCGTTCATAAGTTTATATATATGTATATATATGTAATCATCTCTAAAATAGGACAACATAAGAGTAGACAGTCAGACGGAGATAGAACAATGTATATTATATATATATATTGTAAAAATACATATACGTATTTGGTGTGAACATGCACAGATGAAGCTACGGGTGTTAAATCTATTCCATCACCAGCGGAACGCAATTTCTTGCAAGTCCGTTTATGTCTACCCGGAGCAAAGCAGTCATCAATGATCAATCGCTTTATGTCAGCCGCATTAGCTGTTCAGGTAAGTGGGATTCCATGAGTTTAGCTTTCTTTCTGCTACAAAGTTGCACCTTCCTTGGCGTTGCTTGGACGCTCACTGAGTTGCTTTGTGCCACTTGGAGGCATATCTCGAAAATTGAAGACGGCTGAGCAATGTTTGACAGCTTGTTTTGCTCCTTGCTTCGGTGCGGTGAAGTGTTCGCGATATGAGACCTTCATTCCTGTACTTTGCGACCTATGGGGCTGGCCTCCACCGGCATGGTTCGAGAGCTTGCAGAGGGTGCGACACGGGCGCATTTACATAATATCATTGTAATGATTGAACAGATTGGCCATGATTGGGATGTGTTCTACCAGTTTTGTGCGTGTGTCATGGTCGGTCAAGCTTTAGGCTTTGCCGGTGGTGTATTTTTCCGCTTTTGGGCCCTTCGAAGGCGCAGCGTGACAAGATCGACTGAGCTGAAAGCCAAAGGAGCATTTGAGCCGCAGTCTCTCAGATCTACCAAATCGCTAGCCGCTAGCAAAAAGTCAGGGGCTCCGAGCATGAAAGGGAGATCAGTGCTATCATATAGCAGCAGCTGCAGCAGAATCTCTGCAGAGCCCCTTTGCTTTGTGCTTGAACTCCTTGGCTCAGACTCAGTCATTGGCTCAGAGTGACAGACTCAAATCCAATCAGTCACAGTGCCAGAAGTCATATGTTTAGTTGGGTCCTCAAACTTCCCGCGACAAGTGCCGAAAGCTTTGTGGCGAGTTCCTGGGAATTAACCATAATTAAGGATAACTCAGGATTAACAAAAATATGCAATTAAACAAGACAGGATGACATGCCACAATGTATTCCAGTCTTATTTCATCACTTATCTCTTTGAGAGATATGTAGATTAGGATTAGTTCCAATTCAGTGTTACATTCTGAGCACCAAAGCAGTCTAGCTTTGTTTCCTTTGTAATTGCTGTTTGTCCATTTTAGGTAGCAATGTCGAGCCGTTGCACCTCGCCAGTGTTGCTTGTGATTGTCCTATTTGGAGGCAGCATGCTTCCTACGCAATGCTTCCTTGGAGGCAGACTCAGCCTGTCGCAGCTCTAGTCACTAGCATAGAGATTTGAGAAGGCTGATTGTTTAAGTGCAAGTTGAGGATCGCGCAAGGTATGCAGCTGTGCAGTTTGATCAATGATGAATGCGGGATGCTTTTCCGACTTGGAATTGGTTTGATGGAGATGGCCCAGATGGTCTGAATCCCGGAGAGACAGGTGTCCTATTGCTGCGCCGCAGCGCGCTTTTGCTTCTTGCGGCGCCCGCTTGGATGCCTGCGTCGACTGGCAGATGTTAACGACTTGTGTCCCAATTCTTTGATGGTGTTATACACATTTGGTGTTTCGATAGAACAACTCTTTTGCGGCTTCTTAACGTGATTGAGGTCAGCGCTGCCAGGGTCGCCTCGATTTGCTGGCAAATATGATGATCCCGACTACCCCGGTGCCCTGGCATTGAGGGAAGGCATAGTTCCTGTCATCAGGATGATGGGCTTCTCACTTCTGGTTGTTGGATGATTTGGATTTTCGGATTTGTTATTCTTTATAAATATGCCCCTGCCCATTTCCTCTATGAATTGGGGTGGTCAGCCCCATATAAAACATTTTAGAACCGCCACCCTCTAGGGGGCCAGGACATCATTTGTGAATCCACCCTCACTTGTCCATGTAAAGACCAGGTTGCGAGATGTGATGCTTGTTTTGTACAGTTTGTTTCGCGACATTTCGGCTTACCAGGGCCCTTGAGTCTAGGCTAGAAAAGTGTGCGTGTCCGCCCAGTCACACCAGTTTCATACTGGTAGCGTGAGCTGGATCCTGCAGAGGACCAGACTCAGGACTGTGTAGGACGATCCAGGAATCGTTGAACCGAGCCCAATCCACTGTGCTGCGCTTGTGCTTTGCTTCGTGCATTGGTGCTAAATTCATAGTAATTCGTCCTTCGTCATGAGCGTGAACGGACTCCGGTTTGGAGCCGATGCTTTCTCGTCGAAGGGACCTGTGGAGACCAAGACTGGCTCCGTGATCTATTGGGGAGACCCCCAGTCTTTCCATGATTGGGAATTTCGCGTGCTCCTCAAGATCCAGATTCTTGAAGCCAATGAGGCAGCTGCCAGAGCTGGCCTCGAAACTGCCGAGGATGAGAAGAAGGAGCGCGAAGAATTTGAAGCAGGATTAGACGAGGAAGGATACGAGAAGTTTCCATCCACAGAAGCCCCCAAGGCCTCAGGTGCAAAGTCCCCAAAGTCGTCAGAGGGAGCAACCACCAGGTCCAAGACCATTGAAGCAGACATCATTAAGGATAGAACCAACCTCATGTCCAAGGTCATGGAAGGTTTGAGAGGTGACGCCTTCTTGGTAGCTAGAGACATGGGTATCAACGCTTTGGTTGCCGATGGCGGTTTGCGTGAACTAGTGCGTCGTATCAAGCAGTCAGTGTTTCCAAGAGCTAGTGAAGAGGCTAGGGAACTCTTCCGCATTGGTCAGGTTAGGTCTGGCCCTTTGAGCAGGCAGCCTAGTGAATCAATGAGATCCTACTGTGACAGGCGTAGGAGATGGTGGCGCACGCTGCAGGAGTTGGACTCCTCCACTTCGTTGAGTGAACCCATGCGCTGTGAACTTCTCATTGAATTGTCGGGATTGACACATCAAGAAGCTTTGGTCATCAAGGCTTGCGCAGGAAGTCCATTGTCATTCGAGAAGGTTGCCAACACGTTGATCGAGCACTATGGTTCTGTGCACTTGAGAGGTGGAAGATCCCTGGGCCACCAAGGACCCAGCATGGGATCAGGAAAAGGGAAACCATCCACGCATAAAGGCAAAGGAAAAGGCAGGAATCCTTGGCATACAGGCTATTTCGCAGAGACCACCAGCGTCCAAGACGACTGGGAAGAAGAATTTGCAGAAGACATTGTGGAAGATGAAGAGCCCCTTGTTGGTTTGCTTGCAGGAGCTGATGAAGAAGAACCAGAGGAAGATGAGTATGAGCATGAAGAAGTTGAAGAATGGGAGAGTATTGCACTCAACGCCATGGCTGACCTGGAAGGCAGTCCAGACATTGATGCATCATCGTTAGGAGAATCCATCCAGTTACAGATTGCTGCACTTGCCGCATTTGGGAAAGCAAAAGGAAAGAAAGGAAAAGGCAAAATCCAGTCCACAGGCACGCATGGCAATGTTAGCATGTATCTCAGAGTCTTCATGTGATGAAGAAGAAGTAGTGCTAAGCCCATCAACTCTAGATCATGCTGCTGCATTCGTAGTGTACCCCAAGCCATCTAGGAGAGAGCAACCCAGAGCATCTGATGAAGTCTCCAGTGACATTTCCATGGCAGCTAGGCCTAAGGTCATGCCCAAGAGTCCCCCTCCACAAGCTCAGGGTTACGCGTCGCAAGCGTCCTCGTCGTCGTCGACAGCCGTCGTTCAAGCCTACAGAGGACCTGTTGCCAAGATGCCAGCGCCTAAGTCCAAGAGTGTTGCCAAGAGAACACCCCCATTTCCCCCTTTGGAGAAATGTCGAGATTGTGAAGAGTTTAGCTATAAAGGTTCAACTGCCTACACCATCAAGGCCACGTGCTTCGCTTGCGGAAACTCCACCACAACCAGAAGGGAAGAAAGGTACCCCTACACCTTTGAGAACTGCCCCCATGAAGTGGTTGATCGCAGAGGTTCTAGTAAGACTACGTCTCGCGTGTTTTGTAAGCAGTGTGGTAACTTCGTACATGAAGAGCCTGCAGATCTTAGGAAGCAGAGGGTTGCAGTAGGCAAGAGGACTGAAGAGACCCCTGAAGATGTTTTTCGTGTTGTTCAAAACATCACCAGTGTTGAAGCCAACCAGGAGTTGTCAGATGAAGTGGTTGAAGCCGTTGTTGCACATTTCAACGAACAAGTCTCGTACCAGACAGGACACACAGCGGCATCACTTCACCAGATTCTGGATGAAGCACTGGTGGCCAACGCCAACGAGCAGGACCCGTTGGAAGATGATGGCAGTTTTGAGTTCCCTGAACCGACTTCATTCACGGCTGTGGCTGTCAATCAGACCACTGGAGATGTCATGCTCAATCTCCCAACAGTTGACGTGATGGATCCAGATGACCCCCACGTGTATGCAGCTTTGGATGAAGGGTGCAACACCACCTGTCACAGTTCAGCATGGGGTGAAATGGCCACCAAGAAACTAGAAGCCAGAGGCTATTCGTTCCAGTGGAAGGAGGATGCTGATGCACCTACCTTCATAGGCCTAGGTAGTAAGTCCACAACCAAGGGTAGACGTTCCATGCCATTTGCACTGCAGGCCCAAGACGGAGAGGAGTCGATTTATGGTTATTTGGAATCATATGAGGTAAGCACGGGTGAGACACCATTGTTGATTTCTTTGTACTGCCAGGTCGCGTTGGGTATGATCAAGGATTTGACTCGTGGTACTGTTTCAGTCATGAAGAAAGGTCAAAGGTACATGATTCCATTGTTCAAGTGCTCACGCACGGGCCTACTCCTTTTGAATCTCACACAGGGTTTGGATGACATGGACAATGGCCGCAGTTGGTGCAGATGAACCTGGAGCAGCAGTGTTGCGAAAGCTGTCGGGATTGGAAGGTGTCCCATGGACTATGTTCAATGGGGTGACAGTTGTGAGTGCCACCCAGGAAACAAGTGTTCCAAAAGTCCATGGAGATCCAGCCGTTGTTGAAGAAATCGACTGCAGAGACCTCAATGATCCTCACCATGACAGGCAGTTGAGGGATCACATTGGAAGGCATCCAATGGTGATTGGAGGTATCTTGAGTTCTTGCAAGCAGAAGTTATTGACTCATCTTAGGAAGGCCAGAGTAGCAGTTGAGCGTGGGAATGGCAGGGCGATCATTATCTTTCGATGCAAGAGTGCCCGCCATAGATCAGTGTCTGCAGCAACCATGTTTGCATTTCTTATGCACATGCTTGGCATTCCAGTTCGTGTTCATCATGCAGGGTCACACTCATGGCGCCACATGAGATGTGGAGCTAGGTGTGAGATGTGCAGAATGGAGGACGCAGGTAGACTCCTTCAATTGGCAGCCCAGTGTTTTCCATTGTTCACGAGAGAGTTTGGTTTGTCCGCCGCAGCTATGACAAATCCACTTGGCCAGATCACAGCGTCTTCGACTCCTGAAGCAGCAGTCGAGCCAGAGGCCGACGAGGAAGAAGAACAGGACACTCCAGAGGCTGAAGATGATGAGCCTATGGAAGCAGTAGTTGTGGAAGAGACGAGCACCGTCAACTCTCCAGCAAGAACCCCACAGAATACAGCTCCAGGGAGGAGACAGCTTCCCACACCTCCACCTGTCCCTCCTGAGTTGAAGCCAAAGAGTTCCTCCGAGAGAGGACGAGCGCGTGCAAGAACAAGCCGTTGGTATGACGATGAGCATAGCCAAGAAGAATACAGACGTGATCGCAGAGAATCCACAGAGAGCTACATGTCGTACAAGCCGTCTTCATCGCGGAGGCCACCTTCACCGCCACGTCCGCCACCTGCAAGGGGATATCGTGACTCGAGTGACAGGGTCAGTTCGAGATCTCCAAGAGATCGTCGAGACAGTCGGGAGCGTGATGCCGGGACTGCAAGCAGATCCACACTTGAGAAGACGTTAGACTTTTTGCACAAAGGACTGGACGAGTTGCGCGCCCAGGTGCAAGCAAGCAAGGAGAGCGACCGCGGACGCGGCGTATCTTATTCGAGAAGCCGGAGTAGATTGTCGAGGCGCCCGAGACGATTCGATAGGAGACATCGTGAGAGATCCCCAGAGAAGCCAAGAGCTCCACGCACTCCATCCCGTTCACCACCATGTGGAGGAGTGCAACAGTATGGTGACAGACCAATGGGTGATTTGAGTTCGTTTTGGGGAGCCGAAGAGATTCACCCATGGGTTCGAAGCGATGTCTACAGCATCAGGTTCCAGGCCTCGATCAGCCCAGAAGAGCTTGATAAGGTCGTTGAGTCTTGCAACGAGCATGATCGGATGACCTGGATCGGCTCCGATGCTGCACCTCAGAAAGAGAAAGTGAGGATGCAGATTCGTGTTCGAGGCAGCGTGAATTCGACCACATCCAAGTTTCCAAGATGGATGTCAGATTGGCGCAAGTCGACCTATGCACGAGAACGTGGTGATTCCTGGAGGATGGTGGAGCATGAAGTACCCGTGCACCACACAACTCCTCTTTACCACCCGAGCCACGATTTAATCGTGTTGCTTCAGGCCCCGTATCCGTTTGACCGTGACTTTCAGCACGAGTCACGTGGAAGGAAAAGAGGCACTAGGACAGAGCGTCGCGGCTATCCGGCAATTCGAATTCGTAGGACACCACCTCAGCCACCAAGGCCATCCCGTGAAGCATCGTCGTACTCGAACACCATCGAAACCACTTCGACAGTAGAGGGTAGTAATACCACTTCTTCTGCAGATTCACCCCAGAAGAAAGGATCAGCATCAATTGGGAATGTCCCATTGCAAGAGTCCGGTGATGCAGCAGTGAACTTGTCCCCAACCAGTGAACCCAGTTCAGACGAAGAAGTACACACTAGTGCAGTTGCCATCAAATTGGAATCCCATCTGCCGTTCGAGCCCACGTCGTTGGTTGCAACCAGGGTTTTGTTTGAGAAGGGTGAGAAGGAGACACCACAAGAGAAGAGAGTCACCATGTCCAAGAGTAGGAAGAAAACATTTGTTTGTGGAGTTGAGACCATGAACCATGGTGACCATTTGTTGCAAGCTCTGGTAGGGTTGAAGCCATCACCAGGGAGTCAGCGTCCTTTTGTTTTGGTTTTCACTTCCCATCCTATGCTTTTTGCCGATGCCAGCGTCTTCAGGACCATCGACACAGGCCATGCGGCACAGTTTGAGATGGGTTTAGTGCCACTCAACCATGCCAGATTGTTGTCAGAAGCCACTTCATTTTGTGAGTATGCAAGGATTCCCTGGGTGAACCTTGACGTGTTGGACACCAAAAGATGGGACAATTATGCTTTGGCTGAAATCCCACGCATTTGTTCGAGCACCATCGCATTGACCACCAACAGTGAAGAACTAGGAGATTTGATTGAAGCACGGTGCAAGACACCTTCGCATGTGAGCCAGAGTAGTCAAGATGATCCAGAGAGACGTTTTGATGAATTGTTTTCTCTTGAATTCGTCCAGCAGTTGGCAGAGATTGGAGAACACTTCCATCTTGAAGCCATGACTCACGCAGCATTTCCTGCAGAAGCGGTACAAGAACATGAAGAAGACACATTCGACGCAATTGAGAGCCAAGAGGACTTGGGTGTCCAAGATCCTGTGGAGCAGCTTGTGTCTGAGGAGACCTTCCTTGACACTGTTGAAGTGCCAGGTCTCCCCCTTGAAGAAGCAAAGCGTCATGAAGCATGGAAGAAACTGCCTCAGAGAGTCAGGATAGCCGTCAGGAGGCTACACAGACAGTTTGGACATTGTCCACGTAATGTCCTCGTCAGCATGTTGCAGGCAGCCAAGGTTGACAAGAGGTACATTGAAGCTTGCAAACTTCACCGTTGCATGGCATGTGAAACCGCCGCACCAAAGAAGGGCTCACACAAGACCTCATTGCCATATGAATACAAGTTCAACCACACCCTACAGGTAGACATTTTGGAAGTTCAGGATTCGATTGGTCGTAGGTATTCCATTTTGAACCTGATTTGTCTTGGTACCACTTTCCAGCAAGCAGTCCTTTTAAAGGAAGGAAAGAATCCAACCAGTTCACAAGTGTTGCGTGCATTGATGAATCGTTGGGTAAGCTGGGGTGGAAATCCCGTTGAACTAGCGTGTGACCGTGGCCTTCACAATCGCGGTGTTTTGGCAAAGTATTGTGGTGAGAACAACATCCAAGTGAGACATGCCCCCTTGGAATGCCCAGAGGCCATTGGACGCGTCGAGCGCCATGGAGGTATTTTGAAGGCCATGTATAAGAAGGTTGCGGTTGAGGTCCAGCCCATGGGACCAGATGATGTTGAAAAGATCCTCAATGAATGTTGCCAGGTGAAGAACACATCCACACGAGTAGGAGGATTCAGTCCTACCCAATGGATTTTTGGTTCAGACCCACGTGCAGCCGCCAGCTTGATGAATGAAGGTTGGACTGACCTTGGAGGACTTGCAGGACAGACAGATCCAACGTCAATTTTTGCGTTGCAAAACATGGCCAGAGTAGAAGCCAAGAAAGCCTTTGTTCATTTGGATACTTCGAAGAGGATCCAACGTGCCATGTTGAGAAATGCAAGGCCCATTACCGTGACCTATTCTGTAGGAGATTTGGTTTCCTTCCGTAAGGACAACAACACAGGCGGAAAGACCCAGTGGAGTGTAGTTTCACGAGTGATTGGCCATGAGGGAGATAGAGATGTTTGGGTACTTTGTGAAAATGTCCCAGTTCTTGTTTCTGTTCACAATCTCCGGCCAGCCAGTGAGGCTGAAGCACTTGCAAAGTCTGTGTTAGAAGGTCATCCCATATAGTTCCATCAGAAGTCATTGGGGATGACCAGAAGTTTGTAGATGCAAGATCTTATTTGGAAGAACCTGAAATCCCAGAAGATGTATCGTATGAACCGTCCATCGCGCCAGGAACGCCGGACCCCACGATCCCGGAGGACGTGGAAGTCGAATCGGAGGAGGAAGAGAGTCCAGTCGTAGAAGAGCAGGGTCGTAGCCGAGCCACTCCGACTCGCCGACAAGCAGTTTTCCCGTCGAACAGTCGAAACGTCCGCCAGCTCAGGTGTCAACTCTGAGACAGCGCCCGCAAGAATCGTCGAACCGGAGACGCCTTCGAACGCCCCCATCATTCCTGAATCGTCTGGTAGTGTGGGACCACTGCCATGGCCCATGATCCAGGATTCTCTGGACGACCTTCCGTGGCCAATTCGTCAGCATTTCGAACGATCCCGAACAAACGGAACAACGCCGGAACAGGCAGAAGGTGAGAACTCAGGTTTGGTCGCGTTTTCTGGGGGAACCACAGAAAAGAAGTATCTCATCAAACCTATGGGCAAGAGAGGTAAGTTTGTTACTTTCATGTGTGCCAGGTTTGGTGACGGTCGACCTGAGGATTTGATTGTTGAGGGTGACAACCAGGATTTCAACAGTGCATCGCCCAAGATGAAAGCCCTGATCCTTGAAGCAATGAGAGGTGAGTGGGGTAAGTTCGAGCACTATTCCGCAGCAGTGTTGATTTCTGGACCTGACCTTGAGAAGCTCCCGAGGCAGGGCCACACCATAATCCCCTCAAAGTGGGTACTGGTTGACAAACACGAGTACCTAAAAGGGAAGAAGGAATACACGCCCAAGATCAAGGCGAGGTTGGTTGCTTGTGGAAATTTTGAAGACCAAGATGGTTTGCGCACGGACGCTCCAACGAGCGACCTGGAGACTCACAACCTTGTTGTTGCATGGGCAGCTTCCCATGGTGTTCCACTATATGCATGTGACATCACCTCAGCATATTTCCAAGGGAACCCCCTTGATCGCGTGGTTTTGATGAGACAACCACGTCCAGGAATCCCAGGGATTGACAAAGATGCTGTTTTGATGGTTCGTGTTCCAACGTATGGTTTGGCAGATTCAGGACGAGGTTTCTGGAAACGTTTGGACCGTGAAGCACGTGATGTAGGTTTAAGTGTGAGCAAGATTTTTCCAGCTTTTTACTTTTTGCGTGCACCAGAAAAGGCCAATGAAGATGAGCCTGAGCCATTGATTCACATGAGCAAGACCGTGCCAGTGCGTTCACGAGTCGTTGCAGTGATGACAACACACGTTGATGACCTGTTGTATGCATACTTGCCAGAAGGTGAAGCCAAGGTGAAGGAACTTTTGGACAAGTTTGACATTGGAAGTTCAGAGTCCCGTGATTTTCGATACTGCGGAAAACAGTTCAAGACAACCGAAGAAGGGATCACAGTTGATGTGGTAGACAACACGCGCCGCATCAAGCCTATCCGTGTTGAGTCAGGAAGGCCAAATGCAGATCCGCTTCTCGCTCATGAAACGACGCAGTTGAGATCCGTTGTCGGCTCTCTTTCATGGATCGCTCGCCAGGGCAGACCAGATCTTCTCTACCGAGTTTCGAGGCTCCAGGCAAACGCCAAGGACTCCTCGGTACATTGGTTGAAAGAGGCCAACAAAGTTCTGGAACTTGCACTGGAAGGAATGGAAGATGTGAAGCTTAGGTTTCCATTTCATTTGATGAATTGGGACAGCATTGGCATTTTGTCAGTGTCGGACGCATCCTTCGCCAACGAAGCGGGAAGGAAGTCACAGCAAGGACATTGTCATTTCCTTGTGCCAGCAGAGCAGTTGAAGAAAGAGGGTCACGATCATTTTGACGTGTATCCCATATCATTCAGCTCAACCACAGTGATGAGGGTCTGTAGGGCCACTCTCCAGGCAGAGGCTTACTCAATGCAAGGCAGCATGGAAGCAGGTGACAGACTTCGAGCCGTCGTCGTGGAGATGAAAGGACTCCTGCCTGCAAACCTCCGTGGATGGGAGGACATCTGCCGCAAGCACTGCATGCAGTTGAGTTTGAGTGATTGCAATTCCTTGACTTCGCATTTGAATGTCGAGATTTCATCGAAGGTACAGGACAAACGACTCGAGATTGAACTAAGGGCTATTCGTCAGTGTTTGAGAACAGCCGACGAGAAGCCGACCTATATCGACTACCTCGAGGGAGGAGATCGGGTGTCCTGGATTCATACTTCGAGTATGGCTGCTGACTGTCTTACCAAGGTGATGAAACCTGATTTGCTTCTCAAGATTCTTCGAGAGAACAAATACAAAGTGCAGTTTGAGAAGATGACCAAGCAGTCGTAGCCAGGGAATTTTTGAACTTCATTTGATCTCGCACCTGAAGAAAGGATCAGTGTGAATCCACCCTCACTTGTCCATGTAAAGACCAGGTTGCGAGATGTGATGCTTGTTTTGTACAGTTTGTTTCGCGACATTTCGGCTTACCAGGGCCCTTGAGTCTAGGCTAGAAAAGTGTGCGTGTCCGCCCAGTCACACCAGTTTCATACTGGTAGCGTGAGCTGGATCCTGCAGAGGACCAGACTCAGGACTGTGTAGGACGATCCAGGAATCGTTGAACCGAGCCCAATCCACTGTGCTGCGCTTGTGCTTTGCTTCGTGCATTGGTGCTAAATTCATAGTAATTCGTCCTTCGTCATGAGCGTGAACGGACTCCGGTTTGGAGCCGATGCTTTCTCGTCGAAGGGACCTGTGGAGACCAAGACTGGCTCCGTGATCTATTGGGGAGACCCCCAGTCTTTCCATGATTGGGAATTTCGCGTGCTCCTCAAGATCCAGATTCTTGAAGCCAATGAGGCAGCTGCCAGAGCTGGCCTCGAAACTGCCGAGGATGAGAAGAAGGAGCGCGAAGAATTTGAAGCAGGATTAGACGAGGAAGGATACGAGAAGTTTCCATCCACAGAAGCCCCCCAAGGCCTCAGGTGCAAAGTCCCCAAAGTCGTCAGAGGGAGCAACCACCAGGTCCAAGACCATTGAAGCAGACATCATTAAGGATAGAACCAACCTCATGTCCAAGGTCATGGAAGGTTTGAGAGGTGACGCCTTCTTGGTAGCTAGAGACATGGGTATCAACGCTTTGGTTGCCGATGGCGGTTTGCGTGAACTAGTGCGTCGTATCAAGCAGTCAGTGTTTCCAAGAGCTAGTGAAGAGGCTAGGGAACTCTTCCGCATTGGTCAGGTTAGGTCTGGCCCTTTGAGCAGGCAGCCTAGTGAATCAATGAGATCCTACTGTGACAGGCGTAGGAGATGGTGGCGCACGCTGCAGGAGTTGGACTCCTCCACTTCGTTGAGTGAACCCATGCGCTGTGAACTTCTCATTGAATTGTCGGGATTGACACATCAAGAAGCTTTGGTCATCAAGGCTTGCGCAGGAAGTCCATTGTCATTCGAGAAGGTTGCCAACACGTTGATCGAGCACTATGGTTCTGTGCACTTGAGAGGTGGAAGATCCCTGGGCCACCAAGGACCCAGCATGGGATCAGGAAAAGGGAAACCATCCACGCATAAAGGCAAAGGAAAAGGCAGGAATCCTTGGCATACAGGCTATTTCGCAGAGACCACCAGCGTCCAAGACGACTGGGAAGAAGAATTTGCAGAAGACATTGTGGAAGATGAAGAGCCCCTTGTTGGTTTGCTTGCAGGAGCTGATGAAGAAGAACCAGAGGAAGATGAGTATGAGCATGAAGAAGTTGAAGAATGGGAGAGTATTGCACTCAACGCCATGGCTGACCTGGAAGGCAGTCCAGACATTGATGCATCATCGTTAGGAGAATCCATCCAGTTACAGATTGCTGCACTTGCCGCATTTGGGAAAGCAAAAGGAAAGAAAGGAAAAGGCAAAATCCAGTCCACAGGCACGCATGGCAATGTTAGCATGTATCTCAGAGTCTTCATGTGATGAAGAAGAAGTAGTGCTAAGCCCATCAACTCTAGATCATGCTGCTGCATTCGTAGTGTACCCCAAGCCATCTAGGAGAGAGCAACCCAGAG